TGCCCCTGCTGAGCATTTCGTAGCTAATCACTACACTGAATGAGCTACTCAATAAAATTAACCATATATGCATATTCATTTACTAGAGCGAATTTATTTATACCGGACATAAGTTAATCTGTCACATGGAAAAACATCAAACGATAAAATAGAGAGACGTGAAACTTTCAAGTGTAGTCTACAAGTATTCGCTTCGAAATAGAATAACAAAAGGAATGACAAGAAATAAAAAAAAGGCAACTAACAAAACATCAAAAGAAAAATACATTCAGACATTTTCCGATAAATAATAGGTTCGATTTTACGCAGTACAGCTTGAAATATCAATTATAGTCTTTGAGTAAACAAACTAATTACTTTTAATGTTACAAATAAAGAATGTATGTTTACGTCTTGTCTTAACCCAAACAGAAGAAACAACCAACAAACTAGCAAAATTCCTAGACGAATTAAAAAAATTTAATTCAACAATTATTATAATAAAATACTATGGTACTAAACATGCTAACAACACTCGTCAACAAAGCGAAATAATTGGCCAAATTCCTAAGAATAGCCAAATGGAACGCCAATGGACTGCCAAATCACCAAGAAGATATAAAAAATTTCTAAACATAAACTCAATCGACATCCTGCTAATCAGCGAAACCCACTTCACCAGCAGAAGCTACTTCAATATCCCAAAATACAAGCTTTACCACAGAAACCACCCCGAAGACACAGCCCAAGGAGGCACTGCAATCCTAATCAAAGAAAAAATCGAACATTATGAACTACAAAAATATGAAAAACATTTACGTAACAGAAGTCATCCAAGAAAACAGCACCAAGTACTCAACAAACTAGAAAATCACTCCAACCCACTTCTTCAACCACTACTTCAACCTCATGAAGGCCGCGCCATAGCTCAAGCGGTTAGTCGCTGGCTTTCCACCGCGGTGGCCCGGGTTCGATCCCATGTCTGGTGAAGTGGATTTGTGGTGGAGAAAGTGGTGCTGGGGCAGGTTTTCTCCGAGTACTTCGGTTTCCCCTGCCAATCTTCATTCCACCAATTGCTCCACATTCTCCCTCACCTATCATCTGGGGCTGGTACAATAGGCCAGAAGTGGCCGCAGTACAAGGGACTTAGTCCCACCCCAGTAGAAAGAAAAGAATAAAAGAACCTCATGAAAATCGAAGACTCAAAAGAAGTTGGCCATCAGATCTAACGAACTGAGGAAAACATCACTGGTTGTTTATCTAGCACACACAAGTTATGAAGATCCTCATTATGCAGTTTTCTCCAACCTCCTGTCACTTCGTCTCTCTTCGGTCCAAATATTCTCCTCAACACCCTGTTCTCAAACACCCTCAGTCTATGTTCCTCCCTTAATGTCAGAGANCTTGCGTCAATTAAAGTTTGTGTGTTTTTCTTTATGGTATCTACATTATCACCCAGTAGATTTACATCATCGGCGTAGACCAACAGCTGATGTGTCCCGTTTAGTTTCAGTCCCACCTGGTTTCCCTGGACCTTCCTAATTGCATATTCTAAGGCAAAGTTGAAAAGGAGTGGCGATAAAGCATCTCCTTGTTTTAGACCATTCTGGATAGGAAATTTATCAGACAAATGTTTACCTACACGGACTTTAATATACGTTTCGTTTAAACACATTTTAATCAACCTAACTAGTTTCATGGGTATCCCAAACTCTATCAGAATATTGTATAATACTTCCCTCCTAACTGAATGGTAGGCTTTCTTGAAGTCTATGAATAGCTGATGTACTGTCTTATCGTACTCCCATTTTTTCTCCAATATCTGACGAATGCAAAAGATCTGATCTGTAGTTGATCTGTTATGTCGAAACCCACACTGATGATCCGCAATAATTTCATCTATATATGGCGAAGACACATTATTGTGATTTTATTGTTCATCGGAACTTGTAAATCTGCATTGGCGATCGAGTTCCTAGCCCCCAACGTCAGAGAACCAGTAAAGTAACCAGCTGTACGTTACATTGCCTGCGCAGGGCTTACTGTGCGCGCGCTTCCTCTTAATAGACTGAACACACAAGCCCTTCTACGCAGCTTCCTCACACTACTGTCCTACAAAGAGACGAATACATTAGGAACACTATTAGTACTGTAACGGTGCTCACAGATTTCAGTTTCAAACCCACAATCCTCTCTAGCGTGTAGCTGTTAAAATTTAGGTCTATGGGTGATCTACACTAGTTCTTCTAAGCGACAGTAGTAAAAGGGTCAAGAACCTATATTTCGCTAAGAGCTCATGCAAGGATGAGGAAGGCGGGGGAGATAAGGGGGGGGGGAGCTGACTCTACTGTTTACCCTTCCTCGCCTTTCCAGCGATACAAAAAAACAACTGGTTTAAAATAATCAACATCCACGACTGCCAGCCATAATCATTTCGGCTTCAGAGGTGGAAAGAAACCCACCATGTTGGCATCTCGCATCGTCAGCCGCTCTTCGTGCGTCGGCTCGAAACAGTAGGAAGACTACCTTCCTGTGGACATGTTGGTATGATAATTGGCAACATCTGTTCTGCTGTTGTGTGAAAAGTGGTGCGTAGCAAGAAACTGAATTTCACACACCATCTCAGTGAAAACTGAATGAAAAGTAAGTTCTAATAATATTTTCGGTGTTTAAAGTATATAGACACATGTGTACTTCACAAGGTAATATTAAGTTAAAATGTTTCTTAGTGTACGAATGAATGTCCAGTTACTGTCTAATTCCGCGCCGTAGCTCAAGCGGTTAGTCGCTAGTTTCCCACCGCGGCGGCCCGGGTTCGATCCCGGGTCTGGTCAAGTGGGATTTGTGGTGGACAAAGTGGCGCTGGGGCAGGTTTTCTCCGAGTACTTCGGTTTCCCCTGCCAATCTTCATTCCACCTATTGCTCCACAATCACCCTCACCTATCATCTGGGGCTGGTACAATAGGCCAGAAGTGGTCGCAGTACAAGGGACTTAGTCCCACCCCACTAACAATAATAATACTGTCTAATTTATCTCCATGTATTCTTCATTTAATGACTCAATATTGCCTGATTCATGTTACATAACACGAATACTTTATATTAATATAACTGTGGATATTCTTACAATAATTGGTTCATAATATTATAACGAACATTTAGTTAATTAAGTGTGAATTAATGTTGTTAAATTAATATTGTTGCATTATAGACGGAAAACAAGACTATAAGTTAAAATTGGTTCCTTCGAAATGTCGGTAACCGATCACAAGAATACACGGTGTCACAAGATGTAAGATCTCAACCTACTGGCCTCCTATTTTCATTGAACAACTACAGTTATAGAGTATGTTATTTATTTTAAGTGCGATAGGAAGGTAATTTTTACAGGAGAGGACAGTCGAGGCTTATTTTAAAATAGTCTCTCAACATTCTCATGAACAGACTGAAACAAACGAACGATCGTATCGCTTGAGTAGCTGGTAACCCGATTGACAGCCAAACCCGCTACCTGCAGCTGCCACACCAACCCTTCCGGCCATTCCTGAATTATGACCCGACCGCGAGGTGTAGGACGTGCCAGTTTGAAGCACCTTCATTTAATAAAACCAGATGTCAGCTCTGATTTCAGTCGAATACAGCGTGAACGAAAAGCTGTCCCTTGTGTCTACACCAACAGTTATCCAATCATTGCGTGTACTGCGTGTACATCATGCCACTAGAGTCTATGCTGACATAAAAATATTATGATTATTATCTGCGACGATACAAACATGGCGAATGTGCGAATATTTTATTAGGTTTCTTCAACATTAGCGGCAGTCGGTGCAGTACAGTTTACTTTTACAGTAAAAGCATTATTCTGAACGTTTCCCATGAGAACCGTGCACAAGGTTCACGAAGGGTATAAAATTAAAGCGAAATGTCCGTCCATGTGTACGAAACAAATCAAGGTACTTAAATTACTCTTTATGGAATGCATCCTGTTGCGTGATCAAACTAATTAATTATCATGTTACGTTAATGTTGATGTGCGGGGTCTGTCATTTCGCGAGTTGAAATTTGGTCCAAAACATACCAATATGTACAATATTATTTATTTATGTATTTATATTTTATTTCACGATATATTCAGTAGCTCAGTTTACACAGCATTGGATATAGGATGGTTAGCGCATAATGAATTGGAAAGGATGTACTCGTATATGGAAAGAAGCAGCTGAGACATAATTTAACGTAATGTTCTGGAATTTACATGGGTTATTTGAGGAAAACTAGGAAAATCTTAGTTAATAAAGCCTGTTCCTGGGCTGAGATTTGACCTCGGAATCTCAAGATTAGGAAGCAGGAGTGCCCCTAAAACTCATTAAGTATATTACAAACAAAAACAGAACAAACTCCGTGGCTTGAGTCCGCAAGGGAACTATAACGACCGAGCGACCGCCGCTTGGCGGCGAAGTTAGTGCCAACTTTAGCAGATACAGGGTGTGGCATGATCAGCGCAACGGATCCCCACGGCCGTTGATCTCGGTTTTCTAGACCGGAGCCACTATTTCCTTGAAATAGCTCCTCAATTATCCTCACGAGGCTGACTGGACCCCGTTCCAGACCCACTACAATTAAGTATATTAGCGATATGTATTGTTGCCATTGTAATGTTGACATGAGAACAACACAGTAAAAAGTCGTGTCTCAGGGCAAGCTTCAACGAAATTGTTTTGACTCTATGACGATGACAGACTAACTACTGAAGTCTGTACCTTAGAAGTTACTACATTCGGAAAATGTAGACCTGTACATGTTTGCTTATCTGCTACAAGCTATGTTTGGTGAGTCTAGAAATAGGATAGTCCAGGCATGTCCAACTTCAAAGAGGTTGTGATAGACTTTTTAGTGTCAAAACTGCCAGTGATCTACCACCCCCTCCTATCGTCGTACCTCGCTTTAAACAAAAATATTGGTAAAAATAACACGACACATGAAGTTTGTTGTAAAAGCAACACACGTTGAAAGTACAGACTTGTTCGTTAGTGAGACGTCTGGGTCTACATTTCATCCACCTGCTGTCGGAAGTCAGGTGAGTATTGGGTGAGGGCCAGTTTCAGTTGGAAAGTTGTTTACTCTTTGTCATTTTTAGGTAAGAAAACGCAGATTCACACAAATAAGTTGAACCGAAACAGGAGTGTACAGTTTCTTAAGTTGGGAAATTTGTGTCTAAACACCAACTTCCAAAACGATTCTTGTCCAGCACGAGTCTCGAGAAAAATGTCATTTTTAAGGGTTAATATCTCATTTTCAACAGATGTCTTCCTCAATGGGTAATTTTCACAGATAGTAGTTGCAGTTTCTTTAACGTTTAAATTTGATTTGAACGGGAATGACAAGTACTCTACAACTGTTCTAATTTCTTAGAAGTCACAGAATCTATTTCCAAAATCTTGGATAAGAGAACAGATTTCTGTCGCGTACTTCTTTGTAAGATTTGAGGTTTTCACGGCGGTGACTATGAAGAAAGTAGTCTTCTGGGGTGTGGCACCGTGTAGATGTGGCGTTAACCGACGTTTCGGAGGAACGTATCGCCTCCATCTTCAGGGTAGAAGGAAAAATAAGGAAGTCCGCAAGCGAAGAGACAGTGAGAGCAGGAGCAAGCAGACTAATGTCGGAAGTAAACTGAGCTATATGAGAGCAGGAAAGGAAGGGACAGGTCTACATGGGAAATCAGTGGAGAGGGAGAGGGGAAGGGTCTCGGGAGCAGGAGCAAGGTTAGAGCAGGTGTAGAATAGTGTATCGGGGGAGAAAGGCAAGGTTAATGGGACGGCATTAACCCTTAAACTGTTAAGCTGTGGGGGGTTGCTATGTGAGTCGGTCATGGACTGCGTGGCCTTGTGGATCTGGATCCCAGAAGACTGCTTTCTTCACGTACTTCTTTGTCTAAAAAACAAAATTATGATATTTTACCAGATGGTCCTGCATATTATGAAAGTGATCAAAAATATTGTTTGTAAGGTCAGTCATCATTAGCTCAAATTTTCTTCTGTAGGATGAAACTGTACTCATCATCTCAGCAATGCATTTGGTTTTACCTTGTAGTTCAAGGTTAATATCACTTCGTTTGCTTGTAAAATCAGCGAGAAATGCCAGCTCAAATAACCACTTCTCGTCTTCTAACTCTGCTTTCTCATCTCCCCTCTCCTTAAAAAAAACTGTTTATTTTACTCAGCAAACTACGAAATCTCTGCAAAAATTTGTACCTACTCAGCCATCTTACATCGATATGCCAAATTATATCCGGTGTCCCTTCCTCAAGAGTTAGATTGAAAAGTCGTCTTCGAAGTGATTTTCCACGAATTGAATTTACACTTTTGAAAGCTATGTCCATAAGAGTCTTTGTGTTGGGTCTCTTGCTTGCCAAAACTTTCTGGCGAATGATGCAGTGGTAAGAAAGGAAATCAGGAAGGTCATCATGCTGTCTACAGAGGGCAATAAAACCATTAACCTGACCTGTCATTGATTTTGCCCCATCAGTAGTAATGGAAACAAGTTTATGTAATGGAACATCAGACTTTGTGACAGAAGAATAGAAATAATCAAATATTTCCTGACCCGTAGTTCTCCCTTTTAAAGAAATCATTCCAAGTAAGTCTTCTCTGACGCTGAAATCGTCAAAAACCATCCGAATAAAAACCAGTAACTGGTCTGTCTCTCTCTCTGATGTCTGCAGATTCATCAGGTTGGAGGGAGAAAGCAACACAATTGGAAACATCTTTCAACAACTGTTCACTTATGTTTCCACACAGCATTTCTATTCGCCGCATAATGGTTTTTCTTGATAATTGAAGATCTTGAATAGTAGCTATGATGTCTTTCTTATTTTTAAATCCTTCAAAAAGTTTGTCAGCTATTTCAAGAAAACACTTTTTACAAATTCTCCTTCTGTGAAAGGTTTGCATTTTTTTAACGATCAGATTGTGTGTTTTCCCTTCAAAATCTGAATATCATCACATTATATTACAAGTGAATTTACACGTTTCCCACGTATAATTTCCTTATAGGCCTATGAGATCGACCAAAAATCGTCCCGCGATCGACGCGTTGGACATGCCTGGGATAGTCTATTAAAACGGAGACTGCTTTCTTCATAGTCACCGCCGTGAAATCATCAAATCTTACATACGGAGACTGAGTTGTTCGATTTTTCTTAAAATCACCGCGTCAGTATGATTTATGACGTCAGGCAAACGGACTGACAACGGAATTCTCCAATATGCAGTTAAAAACGGGCTGAAAATTTTGTGCATCAGCTGGCAGACTGGTTAGTTCGTGCGTAATGGATTATGTGATTACGTTATTTTGCACTTTTGTATGGAACAGTTATTACAGTGTATAATGATATTACAATGTCGGTTTCGGCTATGCAAATAAACAGTGCTTATCACCCGTCTGATATAGGTAACATATCACTTTGTTTTTGTGTGCACAGCAGATGTTAACAGATAATCAAATTACTACCTGAACAATTGCCCTTCGTCTGCATATACGGCGATATTTTAATATTTTCACATGCCAAGTCCAGTCATTTCTTATTATTTACGTTCATTCATTAAGTAGTAAATGGCTCTACAGCCCTTTGTTGGCCCTGGCCTCTTCTTCAGTTTCGTGTTACACAGACGGTAGGACTGCTTGGGCGGGGGATCAGCCCATAGCAAGGCCGCTATCTACAAACAGAGCAACACAAACACAGAATAAACGCACACACATACTTCCATGTTTATGAGTGGGATTCGAACCCACGATCTCAGCGTTCGAACGAGCGAAGGTAGTTCATGCCTTAGACCGCACAGCCACTGTGATTGGCCTTATTTACATTACAATTGTTACATTAAAACAAGTAAAGTAAAGTAAAGCTATCCCTGTACCAGGCCGTGAAGGCCCATAGGGTTGTGATACGTTGAGGGTCCCACATTATCTAGACAATCGGCTCCAAGATGGCACATTAAAACAAGCATTTGTATAAAATACGTCAAAGTTCAAAGTTAGATCTACCGAGTCTAACAATTTGTTGATGCAACTTTTGGACAGTCATTTGCCTCTCACGCCAAAATCTGGACATAGTAGTAGTAGTAGTAGTAGTAGTAGTAGTAGTAGTAGTAGTAGTAGTAGTAGTAGTAGTAGTAGTAGTAGTAGTAGTAGTAGTAGTAGTAGTAGTAGTAGTAGTAGTAGTAGTAGTAGAGTAGTAGTAGTAGTACCAGCAGCAGCGTTATATTGAATTTGTACATTATTTACTCCCCCTTCTCCTTCTCATTTGTGGTTATTCCGTGATAGGTCATTAGGCTGTTGGAACAGCGGGTTTAAAATAATGAATTGAATTGTCATAAACATTTACTGTTTAAATTCTCACTTTCGTAATAGAGCCAAGACCTGGTCTGCTTATTGATGTATATTGCATTTATCATTATAAAATATTGTCTACCATTTGAAATTTCGATAAAGTGATTTTATAAGTGGCATAAGCTTATATTAATTTTATTACAACTGCAGTATTTGCTTTACACGTGGTAACTCGTGGTGACAGCATTGAAACAAATAGCTCTTCACTCAGTTTTAACGTAAGTTATCCTACGAATGTAGACAGTCGTGCAGAAAGAAAATAAATGTCGTATTACATAGGCCTACATATATGTACGTACATGTAAGTGTCTATGTACTGTCCGGATGAAAGGTATCCAAAATAAAGTAATTATATTTCAGAAAGCATTTTATATACACATTTATGGGTTACACCATTACAAAGGGAAACCATCAAAGTTTTTTTGGGTATATAACTTCCTCAATAAATTTCAATGAAGGTTTACATGGGGGCACGACAAATATCCATACGATATTCGGTCTCGTTCCACGTTGCCTGAATCATGCCTGGTGTTACCATAGCCACAACGTCCCTTATGCGGGCTTTCAGGTGTTGAAGGTCGTTGATCTTAACCTGGTAGACAGTGTTCTTCACATAACCCCACAAGAAAAAAAATCCTGTGGAGTTAAATCTGGCGACATAAGAGGCCATGCAGTTGTTCCACCTCTGCCGATCCATCTTCCAGCTATATCTCTCTGTCCAGGTGATTCCTAACATGGTAGCAGAAATATGGCGGGGCATGCGCGTAAGCCAGGCATAGGAGAAAACTTTCAGATTTTTCCTTTCCGATGACATAAACCGGATACGTGTATGACAATTAGTTTCCGAGATATAATTTTTTTTTATTTTGGATACCTTTCATCCGGACACTTTATATTTGTATAGACAGGTATAACCTATAGCTGCCGGTCACGGTAGTCCAGCGGTCTAAGGCATGCACTGTCTTCGCTCGCTCGGAAGCCGGGATCGTGGGTTCGAATCCCATTCAGGGCATGGATATTTGTGTGCGTTTTTCTGTGTTTGTCTACAGGTAGAGGCCTTGCGACGAGCTGATCACTCGCCCAAGGAGTCCTACCGAATGTGTAAGATCTAGTAAACCGAAGTGAAACGGAGAGTTTTCATGGAGGTAGGCCTAGGCCCAAATTGGGGCTGTAGCGCCACAGAAAAAGAAAAGAAAATACCCTATAGCTAACAGAAAGAAATGCTTCCAAACAATATCTGTCGGAAATTTGTAGATAATTCCATACAAGAATTCTCTTGAAATACATATAACTGGTCAAGGTTCTAACTACATATAGAAGTATAACTGCCAGATAAATTCAACAACAGTTTTCTTCAGACACTAAGGAAAAATATCATGAGAATATATGAATATGGAATGCGTTATGTTTCCCTGTACATATCGTAATTCTCCCCTACCTCACGCTGTGCTGTACCTGTGCATTATTTCGTCCTATTTTGCAATTGCGTCAAGTCACCAAATTTCTTTAAACGCAGTTTGTACTAATAAGTGTAATATGGAAACACTGATGCCCAAATTTGGGATATTCAGTGTTCACAAATTTGTCGTGATGCGGAAAATAGAGCTAATAAAAAAATAGGTCAAACTCAGACAAGTGCACCACAACGTTTGCTTTATTAGAAGGTTCAAATAACCTGTAACACCACAA